TATTAATTTTTAATGACAACACACGCTTGACCATAAAATTTACTATGCCCAATTTATTTTCACAAAAAGATTTAATTTTTTTAAAAGTCTTAACAGTTTCCTTGTATCTTCTATGGTTTCAGATTTCCCTATACTGTCCCATTTACAAAAAAAACACTCTTTATCTTCCCATGAGTGTCGTAAAAATAAATTAAGATATAGAAAGCGTCGTCTTTCTTTGAAGTTATTGTTGTTTCTACTATAAAGACGACACAAAATTTTTAATCACGAAAAATTGTTCAGTTGTTTTTAATTAAGCTGTTCCGTGATTGCGCTTCCACATCGAAGTGCCACGTGCTAAGCAATTTTAACATCCTCTCAAATTGTAAAATTTCATGAATATCGTTCCACTACAGATATACTTACATGAAATTTGACACTATCATAAAAATACACTTCTTCAGTATAACACGAATCCCAAATGTTTGAATTTCGTACTGTGACCTGGGATGATTGAAGTCAAAGATAACATGCTTAGTTAATGAAAAAAGTATTCAAACGTAAACTTTTGTTAAAAACTGAAAAAAGAAAAAATTAGAAAAATAAAACAGAAGTATCTGCTGAGCTTTAGTAGCTAATTGATATTCTGCCTAGTATCGACTGATTATATTTATCTCTATATAAAAATCTATAACTTTGGTTTTCTAATGATAGTAATCTTTATTTTCACTTATAAACTACTTATTTTATTAACTGACTTCAAAAAAAGAGGACCTTCTCAATTCGACTGTATGTTTTTTTGTACGTATGTTACGTGATAACGCCGGCCATTTGTGAACCGATTTTGATGAATGTTTTTGGAAGAAAATGTTCTATCTCTAAGAGTGGCAAACTAGGGGATGAATCCGGTTTTCAAAACTTGGCAAATAGATTGTATTTCACACATTTTTGAGGTTTGTTTTTTAGTACTCTTTATTGAGATTATTTATTAATATCAAGTTACTATATATTTGTCACCTATAGTCATTTGAATTCAGAACTAGGTAATTTATTGTTGTTTTGTTTTGATTTCTTTGTTAATTTTATGAAGCTGTAAAACTATCTTTTTATTTTGTTATGACACCAAGTGATAATAACTTAGAGGGTGGAAAAAAAGGATGGTAAGATACACGCTTGTCAATGACAGTTGCAGTATCGTTTAGAGCTTTCAAATATCTGAGAGGGCGATGCCACCGCGCCCGTCAACTTGAGACATAAGTTGAAAAGTTCCATGTGACTCTAATTTCACCAGCACCATACCTTTCAAAACCGGAAAGCAGTGACGTTCACATTAATGCTTGGCGGCAGATATAAATAAATAAAAATAAAAAGACATTTATTTGTCCACAAAACACATAAAGAAACATAATCGAACAATTAAAACAAAAGAACCGTATGTGACAAAAAGGATGAAGACTCAACATTGCTGATTTTCAGGCTTCACCTTAAAGCTATTCGCTTGCTGCATCAGACCGGCAAGCGGAGTGTATACTAAATAGCAAGCAATTAATAGAGGCTGCCTGTGTTTGCACTGTATGTAAAATGTATAAAATTAAAAAAAATTGTAATTAAAAACAGAAAACATTCTAAAATTGTATTTATTTATTTAGTGTTGCTAACGGATTTAACCACCGACCAATTTCTACTCGATTTCTGCACAGACAGTAGCCATGGTTTACATCTTTTTTTGAAAGAATCTATATTCTTTAAAATGCTATCGTTTTGGCATTTTTAACGAAGGTGGCAGATCATTCCAGCACTTACTCGCTGCGAATCGACAACTAATAGGTAAGGTGGTAGGTAGTACTACTTCCCTGGACAAACTCTTTCACAAAGGGCTCTACTGCTACAAAATCATTACTAATTAGATTATACTGAGCTCCACTATACAGTGTGGTCTAGTCCATGTAACCAGAATAAAAAAAAGACTGTTGATTTCGTATATTTTTAATAAGAGCCCTCTGTCAGACGACATGAATTATTTATAAACATTCTACTGAGGAGCAGTGTGACAAACGTACATTATCTTTGTTGCCAATTAATAGTTTTTCGGAATCTTTGTTATAATAATGTACATAAGCAATAATTGAATTGAAATAAGTCCGTACTTGTATAAAAAATGTTTTAGTAGCAGTAGCTCCTTGTGAAAAGAGTTCGTCCAGGGAAGTCGTGCCACCTTATCCATTTCTGCCGCCAAACTTTAATGTTAGCGTTACTGCGTTCTCGTTTTTGAAGGGTACCTAAGGGTGCTGGTGAAATTACAGGCACATGGGACTTGTCAACATATGTCTCAGGGTGACGGGCACAGTGGCCTGCAACTGTTATGGATAGGCGTGTAGCTTACCATCAGGCGCACGCAATATTTATTATTAATTATCATTGAGATCAAGGCATTTACAGTCACATTCATTTTGTTTATTTTCTATAAAAAAATATTCCAAAAATCAACTATATTAACTTAAATTTGCTTCTTTCCGGCTTAAAGCAACATATTATTTAAAAAATAGGAATATCGTTAGAGTAGTTTTTTTCTCAATCAGCTTGACGTTACGCCTTGGCGACAGAAATATATAAGGTGGCAGTACTTTCCTTGACATACTCTTTCACAAGCTCTACTGATACTAAATATTTTTTTATAATAATAATACTCCTTAACAATATACTACGCAACTTCCAAGTCAGTTTATAGCCATCAATCTGCACCAAGTAAGTGCAAAAGGCAATTCGTAGAAAACCGACGATAGACGAAACACGAATATTGCCTAGATATATTGACATAATTATACTGTACAGTAAATATATTCATTATAAAATTCCAATCCTACCTCTCTAGCTAATCCACATGACAAGCAAGACGATTATAACAAATTCCCGTTATTAGGAACATAAGCCTTAATTTAACATGGTATATAATATTGTAAATGGAAGCTCCAGAAGTCTAAACTCAAGATCTACTAGAGGACGATGGAACGCAGCATTCTGGGCTTTAAAGGCATTGACCGAGTATGCAATAGAAGAATTACTGGCCTGATGTGGGGAGCCAAACAACCAGGCTCAAATGGGATTGGGAGGGCCACGTTAACCGGATGCAACCCGAGAAGTGAGCAAACGTCGTCACGTCTTGGGTGCCCGTGAATGGAAGGCGGCAACGGGAATGGTCGAGTAGGCGTTGGCGGGACGATCTTGATGGCTTGGGTACTACTCGTAATGATAGCAAATCGCCAAGGGCAGGGAATAGTGGAGGATTTGGATACAATTGGTTAATTAAAAAAATGTAACTACAAGTCAAACAAATAATACAGACTGAGTATATAATTCCAGATGCATCAGATGTAAATGTAAAAGTAAACTTTCGTAAGTAAGTAGTACAGTAGTATAGTGTAATGTTTACTGTAAGCTGGGACCTAGCTTAGGATGCGTAGCGAGAGGTACTTTATAAATATAAACTGGGATAATCTTCAAAATTTGATATTTATTGTACTTTTTTACATGTTCACTTCTTGAGGTTACTTTTAGATCTCTCAAGATGTTCTTTTCTTCTGATCTATTTTTTCAAACACATTCTATATACAAAACTATATTCACTCAGCTAGTAGTTCTACTCATAGAGTAGAGCCTAGACTACAGTACCAAGGGAGGGTTAAATGAAGAATGCACATACAAAAACGGTCTTTATTATTCAAAAACAATCTGTACTTATTAAGTACAATAAATTTCCACTAGCGTCTCCTTTTAACAATGAAAAACTTGCCGAGTTTTATTAATTAATATGTATAAGTGTACACCAGCTAAAATTATTCGTTTACTCAAGAAACTTATTAAAATAAATACAGACTTAATAATTATTGTGTATTGAAATTAATATTCATATCAATAATGGGTATATATTATAATAATAATAATAAATAACAAAATTATTATCACAGTTATAATAATTATATTCATTTATAATTTTAATATTCATGAAGATATTTAAAATATTTATTACGATAATTAAGAGTAAATTATCAATCCCAATATATAAACAATATAAATCATCGAAAATAAAAAGAAAAAGTTTATTACATGAAACATTCATACTTATTACAGTAAATAAAAAACATACCTAGGTAATAATATTAAACATTTGTCTACCAAAAATGGCAGTTTTTCAGGAATTGTAAATACAGTAAAACTATTCAGGAATTATTTATAATATCATATTGTATATTTACATCGATAATTTTGGCTATCTACAAAACAAGAAGTTTAGCTCTATAGACAGAATATAACCTAATATTTACAGCAACTACAGATTGAAAATGGCTGACACAGATAAATAGATCTTTCCAGTATCATCTAACCGATACAACACATACATATAAGATACAACTGTGAAAATTATTAATTAATCATTTGGATACATATTAAATTACTGTAACACATCAATCCCTCCTACGTAAAGTATCGTAAGCCCAAATTCATAACTTTACAGAAGAACGTTTTAATGTATCGAAAGGACTAAAATGTACATAATACCTGCGATTCTCGAGGTTTAGCAATTAAATTTTAAACAGTCATAATTTTCATACTTTGTATTTGACCTAATGAGTAAAAAGTAATTTTTGAAAAAAATTACCTATTTTTGTGTATCTCGATACATCCAATAAACACTACGCCATGTTATTTTTTTGATCTGTTCTATTTTTATTTTGTTTTTTGTTTCTTTCTTTTTTTTTCACAAAATTTGAAGAGCATAATATTAGTAACTAAATATGGCTGTTTACAAAAATACAGAAAATGACAAAATAATAAAGCTGGTAGTATTCATTGAAAGCATCGATTTAACAATGGATTACATAAGAGGAGTCGATTTTTCTAATGTACCGAGTAATTTGCTTCAGAATCAAGTACATAACTGGAAAGTTATATACGTTAAATAAAAGCACTGCTTTATATACTCCATTGATATATTGTCGATATGCTCCACGTAATAGTTGCTTCTAAACCTCAATACGTCTACGATCAGTATCTTTATATTTATTTACAGTCTTCACATTTCCTCTTACTTGGAAAAATATCTAGAATATAACATCTATAATACACCTCTAGTTTCGTTCATTTGTCCATCGAAGTCTTTTGGGGAATAGAGTTTTTCTCCGGGATATCTGTTGAATAACACAATGTTATATGGAATAATTAGTTCCTATTTTAAATAAATGAAGCTTATTCTACCATAGTTGATTTTTTTTATAAAATATAAGTGCGCATTTGACCTCCATCTCACCTGATGGAAAGTGACGATGAGGTCGACGATGGAGCATGCGCACCTAAATAATGCCTATTCACTGTCGCCTTGAAAAGGCCCAAGCTATAAAGTTCAGGAAACAAGTCTGCAGGCAGGGAATTCCACTCCATAGCCGTTCGCCATATGAATGTGGAAGCATAACGCTTCGTGCGAATCTTTGGAATATCTACAACATAGGGGTGGAACCCAAGCCTACGCCTAGTCCCCCGGTGTTGAAAAGGGGAAGGCGAAATTAAATCGCACACTTTCCGTGACATATCGCATAAAATACCGATAAGCAGGCAACTTTACGGCGGTGTTCAAGGCTCTGAAGCTTCGCCTCCACTAATTCCGAGTCACGTATAAGCCTCTTGCCACAGTCGCCAATTGAATCCAAAGTGGCCAGTTGGTATGTAGCAGAGTCATCCCAAAGGTGGCAGCAGTACTCCAAGCACGAGTTGTCACCAAGCAATGGCCGGAAGTAGCCAGTGGGGCCTCCACAACCACAGAGTAGCAGTCTGGATCAGTTGTTATCAGAAGGTTCAAGCAATTAGCCGTATGAGACTCAACATCTGGGATCCTGGTGGCACCACTGACAAGCTGGGAAAGGCTTAGCGTTAACGCAAGTTTTCGCGTCTCTCTCCCAGCGTGATCGGTCACCTGGTATGGGAACGACCATTCTTGATGGTGAGCATTAAAGTCCCCCAGAATGACTAGTTGCGAATTTGCTGAATTTCATCAGACGTCACACTCAGATATTGGAACAGTTTGGTTCTCTCCTGATCTCCACTGTGCGATCGGTAAACACAGCAGTACACTATTTGTGTAACTCCTACGTCGACCAGAAGCCACAAAACAGAAAAAGTCGGAACCTCAAAGCTCTTGAGACGCTTGACACAGATGTCATCGCGACCGTACACACAGACTCCGGCACGGGGTATGAACCTGTGCTCTAGAGTATACCCGGGGTAGCTGAAGTACTCTGCGTTAGTCGGACATCTAATCTAAGCTTACACTGCCACACGAGGTTACAATCGGTTTGGAGACCGTGGGGACGCGCGACCTCCTAATGGCAACTCCCGAACACGACTCAGAATACGGTGAAAACCATTTGGCGACTCGACTGCGTCGGGAGAAAAGAAAAAAGAAAATTAAAAAAAAACTTTTATATTCATGCAAATTATTAATTGATCCAATTTCTTTAGATATATTCAATTTTATGACACAAAATAGTCTGTTATGATTGTATACGTAACTTATCACAATTACGTGATCCTGCAATGTTCTTTTAAACACTTCTTTATAAATATAATAAGTTCCATTAACGCTAATAAATATAAAAGAAAGCTTAGGTCTGCTGCTTATGCCATGCGGAAAGTCAGAAGTTACTGACATCGAGACATCCAGAACCTTTCACGTCAGTTACTGTCACAGTATTATGTCATATGGCCTTTTACTGTGAGTCGCAGCTTAAAATATTAAAACAATTTTTATTGTGCAGAAGCGAGCAGTTAAAACGATATATAAATTTTGTAGGTGAGAGGTAAAGAATCTTAAGTCCAAATAGTAATTTTTACTACAAAGCGTTTTAAAGAGAAAGAGGAACTTAAAATTAGTCTTGAGGCCCAGTAAATATGTTACAAAACGAAAGACGATAGGACTTAATGTCTTTTACCACTGCGTGATATTTAGCATCCTAAAGCAATGTTTGTAAAAAATCAAAATTTCAAAATATTACTTTTATGTCTCACCCATAGAATTAAGTTCATAATTATACCTCACTTAGGGAGATTTTTAAAGTAATTCGTGTATATATATTGGTGTATATATGGTCATTGCATCACAATTTCTTTCCTTTTCTTTTAAATTTTGTGACGAAATACGTACTACCTATCGCACTGCTAGAATCTAAATAAAATGAGTTGGTGTTTGTCGGACGATGTGGTCTTTTTCCGTTGACCTCGATGGCTCAACGGTTTGCACTGAGCGCCCAGCTGTACGAGGATGTCTTGGTTCGATTCCGGGTAAGATCAATTTAGTTGCTATGGTACTCATACTGCCATCATTATTATAACTACCACATTTGCGTATTGGTAACTTCCGAGAAATTGGCAACTAAGGTTCTTTTTTTTAATGTCAATTACGTTGATTTTACTTAACAATAAAACTGAAACTAAATAAGATATGAAAAAACGGCTTATTGGGGGTTGTAGATCTCGGTTCACTGATTACAGATATGTTAATAATTAAATTTCGGTAAAAACGTCGATTACTATAAAGAGGGCTGCAGAGTACAGGAGATCTCTGTTTGAGACCAGGTTATTGGCACACCAATAACCTGGTCTCAAACAGAGATCTCCTCGAAGCGTCACAACGCTGAGGCACATTATTAGTTTACGCTAAATTAGTACTTACTTTGATCGTTTTTTTCTCCTCACTGTATCAACTGGCGTTGCTTCAATACACAATGTTATTAATCTAGTGGCACACGAATATCTGGAAACAAAAAAAATATTATCAAATCAAATATTAGAGAGGTTACACACGGTGAGTTTTAAGCAGCTATGCAAACGCTATGCAGTCGCTAATCATCTACCTTTACACACGCTCGCGATTTTAAGCAACGATACAAACGCGATGCAAGCGCGCGAATCAATCGACACAAACGTGCGATTGCATCGCAACACTTGGGATTTATAGGCGAGTGCATTGATGCAATTGCGCGTTTGTATAGATGCAGTCGCGCGTTTGCATCGATGCAATCGCCTAAAAGTAGTCGTATGTAACCACTCTAAGAGGTGTATAAGAAGCAATATCCTGAACTTCTGCCCATCTGATTTTCCCATTAATACTATAAATGTGGTCAATGTATTCCTTATGTGTGATCGATAGAGTTAAAATTTTCAGTTTGCTCGCCAAACTTTCGTTGCCCAGTTTTTTTCTTGTTAGTACGAGTTTGTTTCATCAAAGTGCCATGTCGACCTATCGTATAAGATATATACAAATAAATAAAATATGTTCATATTAAGTTCTTAGGTTTTCACGATTGTTACAATTTGGAAACGAATCATATTTGTTTTTTCAAACAGACCAACGTTTCAATCGCTCATTACAGGTCCCATGGTCACGGCAGACTGAGTCAAAAAACAAGTATACGCGATTTAGACCAGAAAAAATAATTTCATTTTTAACAAAAATATGTCTTTACGTCCTGATAATAATGATGCTTTATTTGCTACTGTATATAATATATACAGTAGTAAATAAAATAATAAATAAAGTAAATATTATTTATGAATGAATAAAGCAGGATACTCACGTTTCTTGATCCAACAGCTTGTTAGAAAGCAGTGATGACGCCAAACCCATTTTATCAGGGCTGCTTGTATGCCAGGCGTCGCAAAACGCGTCCATAGCTGGTTCGCCATTGGGTGTCGCGCCATGCCAAACAGCTTTTATTGGCCTACGATCGATGCGTTTCGGGTTAAATGTGTAAAGGTTAATAAATCACTTGTTCCCGAAATTGGGACAGGCATTGACGGGGTTTTAGCGATATTACTATGGCTGGATAAAGGTAAGCATGTTCAGTTTCGTAGTATTGTACATTTCACGGAAACCTTTACGTTAAATATATGAGTGCTATTGGAAATTGACATTATTTTCGTCTGTATAGTAAATTTCCTTAAACGACACTTTTATCAAAAATATCACAAAACAACACAAAACAAAAAATCGAAGAAAAGCGATATTTGGTCCGTTTAACAAGATAAAAATGGCATCGAATAAAAAGATTTTGGATAGAATTTATAATCAAATGACCTGGCTTAATCGACAAGAACAATACTTTGAAATAGAAGAAAAAAAAGGTGAAAAGTAAGTTTTACTTCTAAGTATTTACGTTTTTTACGCAATCAAATATAGTTTCGATTTGTCCATTATAAAAAAAAAAACAAGATATATTGGCATGCGTAATATTTTGCAAGCGTTTAAAGTCACTTTACTATTAGTATAAATATTACATACCATAGCGGGTCGGTTAAGACATTCTTTCCACTAAAACTGTAGATCCTTGGTGCATGCGCAAACAATGCACCTGATCCATCGAACATTTCTCCCCATGAGTTGAAGAGAACGTCACCTCGCACGTTCACTATTGGCACCTCACGGTCTATGAAATTTACTATAGAATCGATGGTTTGGACTCTATGGAAGTAAAATACATTGTATTATTAACGTCAGTTGGAGTTAATTAGGATTAAAAAGTACCTACTAGTAACAAAAGATTTTCAATTCACATGCTCGCATAGAAACTCACACGTCGTCGGGGATAGTGAAAATCCGCGTATGTAGTATTGGTAAATGGCGCGTATCTGCACCAAACCAAATTTTACAGGACAGGGATTTTATGTTATTACTTTGTTATTTCAATGGATACGACTTTCATTTTTGCACAGTAAGCATTTATTTAAGTTGTCTACGGACTGTTAACAAAAGATTCCCGTAAATCACGCTAGTTTGGTTGCCACGACATTTGCGCGCATGTTTGGCCACTAAATTGCCGAAATGGAAACTCATAATCAAATGCTAGTTACGCGTAACTGCACTGTCCCCGACGATATGTTGCTTTTTAACAGGGTTCGAAGTGATAATTCGATGCCTTACTTTGTCAAACTCGTATCTTATAAAGAGTGATTATTCAGGAGATGGCAAAACTTTCTATTTTAAATTATTATCAAGGGTGGTAATTTGGATGCATTACTTTAAGAATAGGTAAAAGCTAGTGTGTAAATATGAAGGAAATGTGATGTGAAATCAAAGTGCAAAATTTGTGTATACAATACATTTTCTGCATTTCAGTAACTTTGTGCTTTATACGATAGATAGATCGTTTGAGAAAGTGAGGCGACGATTTGGAATGATAATTATCACGATAAGTATCTTGGTGCACATAGGTATTGTGGTTTGTAGCAAATGTCCGTCTCAAAAAAAGTCAAAGTCCCAAACCCAAAGATAACAAGTTAGTAGCTGTAGAGCATCCAGGCTAGTACTGCCTTACTTATTTCTGCCGCCAAGCAGTAATACCAGCATCACTGCGTTCCGGTTTTGAAGGGTTAAAAGGGTACTGGTGAAATTACAGGCACATTATCTTTGCGATTTAAAGCTCGTGAGTGGCACTGCAACTGTTATGGACAGGCGTGTATGTCGCGAACGAACGAGAACGAGTCGTATGCCCGATGGCAAGTACCATCAAGCACACGACTCGTTTCGAAAAAAATCGCAAGCCGTTTTCCTAAACACGTTTCTTCGTTTATTAAATTTTCTCCCTGTTTGTCATTTTCAGTAAAAAAAGTAAAGGGATAAAACTGTGAATCAGTATGGATAATTATTGGATATATATCGTAGAGTTATCAGGATTATATTTATCATAGTAATTATCAAAAAAAACTAAATTTCTTGTTAATTTCGAAACCTGCTTTTTTGACTCCGTTAATGTTATTAACAATTGGAATATAACATTAGAATTGATATAAAAAACTGTACGGATACAAAACTTTCACTAAGAATCACGCATAACGAAACAATGCTCTAAATTTATGCCTACAATAAGATAATTTAAAAAACTCTAGAAAATCGCATTAAGGATTGTTACTTGATAATAAAATCTTGAATTCCTTTGCCTTTATGTTCAGCATACGTACAAAGATTAAGAAAAATAAAGAAAACTACAACGGCCTGGTTACAACGAATTAATCTTTAGTATTTTTAATTGACATGTACACACGCGAGCACATCAAGCTACACATTGACGTATCTTGTTTCGTTGCCCTGGAGGCGATTTTCGAATAAAAATGTGTAGTCTGGTGCGCCGTTGTCCGTAGATAAATTGTTTTATTTTCGAGCGGACTAAATTAGTTTTCACTTTTCTCATAAATATTTACTCTGTAGCAAACTGATTTTTCCGAAGCGCTTTCATCCATTTGGTTCTCCAACAACTAAATCGTACCAACGAATGGATAGTTGTCAGACAAATTGGGTTCGAAACTTGAAAACATCTTTTAAAATACCTTAACCCGGTAAATATAAGCCGGACCCACTGAATATACTTCAAAAGTTAAATTTTAAGAGTCGATATATTTTCTCCCTTACTAATACGGTTCATTTTGCTTGAGTTGAGGGGCAGGGCCACTGGCCTTTTAAAAAATGCCATTTGAAAAATGTATAGCGTACAGTATACCTACGTGTTCTATTTAGTTAAATTGATTTTAAAAAATCATTGGTATTGGTCATTGACTTACAATTATATGGACGTCGGGTCCGCGCTAAAAAGTGTCCGCACTTGTAAGGCGCTAAAATCGTATACAGAGCGCCACACTCCGCTTTAGTCTTCATTTGTTCTACTGACAGCGCGATACTGCGATGACATTACAATT